GTGATGCTGGTGATGCTGGTGATGCTGGTGATGCTGGTGATGCTGGTGATGCTGGTGATGCTGGTGATGCTGGTGATGCTGGTGATGCTGGTGATCCTGCTCGGCTCCGTCGTCATTACTTGGAGGGCCCACAGGAGTCTTTGGGTAATTAGCGGTGGACAATCTCTGGAGATAGGACGACGTCCCGTGCAAGATGGCTTTGGTTGTCGAATCGAGGGCGAGGTCTCGGTGGTTCGCCTTGCTCCAGTACCGGTAGCGCGAAGAGATGTGCGATGTCTTTGCCGACTTGATCGCTTTCGTTGTCCTGGAGGGATTCTGCGCATCGCCCACGATGAACATCAACGGTGGAGGTTTTCGGCTTTGACTCATGATGTTGCGCGGGATCCTTGTGGCTGGTTTACAAGTGGCATTGATGGCTCTCAGGTTTGCCAGACATCACCCCGCTCGTGGGCCCTCGGCTTGTGAGTGCCTGTTAATGTTGTTGCCGCTGTTCCTTCTGCCTCGCACACCTCAAGTTCTTCATCCGCAGTCTCTGTCTCGTTCGGCGCGAATCTTCTGCTCTGATATCGGCCCTGCGGAAGCCCGACCGAACAATTTAAGCGTCAATGCCTTGGCCATCTGGTCGGAAACGGCCCCTGGTCCAGCATGTGGTATTGCATGCGATTACTCAGGTTCGCTTAAGAACTACCAGAGCGGCCCAATACAAGAGATACGGGCCACCGAAGCTCCCCTTACAATTGGGCTGGTGAGGCGCCTGGATGGAGTCGTCCACACCAGAGCGGCTCAGATTTGGGGGCCGAGCTTGGACCTTGTCGTTCTAGATCGATCCGTGAGTGGGAGACTTCCTTTCGTATCAAGTCGCCTATTTTGTGTCGCACATACGGACGAGATCCGGCTGCTTGCAACTGATGCTGGTTTCGGAAAAGCGCTTGCGGGCGATTATTCAGACTTTGCTGCACTCAGGCACGGTGACTTGAAAACCAACAGTCTGTCCGAGGGGCCTAGTATGTCGTCCTCTACATCTTCTTACAGGACGGACATGGCCTGCTTGATACGAGCCTGATCTGCTTGACAAGACGACATGGCCGCCAGCAACACCTCCGAGCCAGCCCTCGACGGCAATGTCTCTACGGTCGAAGTCCGTCCGGTTAAGGCTTCACCTAGTCGTGAGGGAAGTGGTCCATCGCTATCGGGAACCATACGCAAGGACATATGGGCTGTGATCTGGTGCCTCTATATGCTGTGGTGTGTCCTAGCCAACAATTATGCGAAGACGGCCGGGCAATCAGTCCTCGGCATCCCTCAATTTCGAAAGGACTTTGGCAACGCTTACGAGGGTAACTACGTCCTGTCGGCCCAATGGCAGTCGGCATACTACGGCGCTCCTCAGGCAGCGTAAGACATGGTTCATGGTTCTCTTTCAAGTCCCACTAGGGGTTGCGGCTGATTCTTCCACTCCAGCGCTGTCATGGGTGCATTGAGTGCGGCGTGGATCGCGGACAAAATAGGTCGCAGGTTTGCACTGGGATTCATCTTTGGCGTCAGACTCACATCCATCACTCTGGAATTCGTCTCTACCACAAACTATATCTTCTTTGCGGGACGCTTCTTGGGTGGCTTCTCCACGGGCGGCACCAACTCGATATGTATGGCTTATATCGGGGAGATCACGCCCTTACCACTGCGCGGAGTTCTCACAGCTGCCGTCCCCATCTCTCTCATCACCGGAGCGCTGTCATCTGCACTCGTGGTTAACTTCACCGGCGACCAGTCCAACCGCTGGGCTTATCGGATTGCTTTTGTGTCCGGCTACGGCTTTATGGGCATTGCGGCCCTGGTGCTTCCGTTCATGCCAGAATCACCCTGGTGGCTCGTCAGCCATGGAAAGGACGAAAAGGCGATCAAAGCTCTGAAGAAGATTGGCTATTCCACTGACGCCGACGCCGACTTCAAGATGGCAGAAATCAAGAGGGTGTTAGCCAAGACTAAGGAGGAAACTTCTGGTGCGACGTACATCGAATGCTTCCGACGGTCGAACTTGCGCCGCACCATCATTGCCGCTATGCCCTTGACTATCCAAACCTTCTCCGGCGTGGCATTCGTCGGATCTTACACGACTTATTATCAACAACTCGCGGGCTACAGCACCGCAGCCAGTTTCCGTCTGTTCATTGTCCAGCAGGTCCTATCCGGTGCGGGCAACATCTGCTCTTGGTTCTTGGTGGACAAAATTGGAAGGCGACCTCTAACGCTATGGGGCATGGTTATGCTGACTCTGATTCTTTTGATCACTGGAGGTATGTGCGGACTTCGTTGCTGGTGCAGCTGCCATCTCGCTGGATAGAAAACGTCCCTTGCCGTTGGATGAATTGTTGAGTCTCGTGCGTCATCACACAACTGCTGACGGGATGGTGATGCTCTCTCTAGGCCTTGCCGTCTCAGGCACGCCGCCAGCCATCAAAGGCACGATCGCCCTCCTCCAGCTCTTCTCCTTCGTCTACAATGCCACCATTGGCGCCACCGCTTTCACCATTCTCACTGAGATCCCTACAGCCCGACTACGAGCCAAGACCGCATCCATATCAGTCGGATTGCAAAGTGCTCTCTTTGTGAGTATAACCCAACCGTAACTGCAACTGCCTTCGGGGCTGCCTCTCTACTTCGCTCATTTCTCCCCCCAACTCTCGCCAAACCCCTTTCCATGTTGGCAAAAAGCCACTCAACATACACGCTAACCAAGCGACCCAACGTACACTAGACCATGTGGGGCTTCGTCCTGCCGTACCTCTTCAACCCGGACAAAGCGAACCTGGGCGCCAAAGTGACCTTCATATTCGGCGCGCTGTCCGTACTCTCGATCGTCTACCTGTGGCTGTGCCAGCCCGAGTCGGCGGGCCTGAGCTACGAGCGCCTAGACGAGCTGTTCATCGCGCGTGTCAAGGCAAGGAGGTTTGAGAAGCTGGGCCGTGGAAAGCTTGGACGGACTGAAAGCGAGGGAAGCGAGGATGGCATGGGAGTGGGAGCCGGAAACGGGAGGGTCGATGAGAAGGCCGCGACGGCTGTATAAGTAACAAAGTCGTGGGGAGTATATAAGTGGTATATGTTATCTCGCGTCTAGCGCCTAGTGTCCAGTATCTTCCTAGATGATACTAGTATTCCCGTTCCACTCCTCATCGATCCATCGTAGGCAGGTAAGAGCTATGATTACAAGAAGGTAACGACTGAGTGTTTAATACCAGAATGAAGAGTTAAAAAGGTTGTAAAAGTGTACACAAGTGTATCGACGCTAAACCAACAAGGTGGACCGTCAAAGCGAGCGCATTTTCTCCTTGCGGGGGTTTCGTGACCGCGATGTGATGAGATCGTCTCCCTCGTTAGCAAAAATACTGGTTCCCAAACCCAACCCAACGGCCAGCCCAGTCCGGAACAGCCAAGTCAATATACACACACACTTGCCCAGCCGCCGGGAACGCCGCATCATGTCATGTCTTCCATTCATAAAAGTCAAGGCTCGAGTTCGGCGCCGCTGACGGCTTTCCGCCTACGCTCACTTGTCTTGACAATCTCCTTGCCGAGAACCCCTCAGGACGGCGGTGGGAACACTTTCTTCAAAATACTCTCTTTCTTCCCGCCTTCCTTGCCCACCGCCTTCCTCGCGACCTTGCTCCCTAGGGAGGAGGTCGTGGGGGGCGGAGCAAACTCGGTCTGCACATTCAGGACTTTCCGCCCTCCTCCTCCTCCTCCTCCCCCTCCTCGCAGTTTCGCCTGCCTCGTGCGAAACGAGTTATCGTCCTCGCTTCGGCCTTGGCCGGCGCCGAAAGGGGAAGTGGACGTCGGATTCTCGAGGGACATATTCGTGTGGCTCAGCGTCAGGGGCGCGAACGCTGGGGATGGAAAAGATGAGATTTGGGACTCCGATTGTCCCGTCTGTGGCTGGGAGAATAAGAGGGGAACGCCCGTGGCGGGTGTCAGTGGGGAATTGGAGTATGAATCTTGCGGAAGGAAGCGGGCATATTGAGTGATCGGTATCGAGGAGGGGGATATGGGAGACACGAGATCATGAGCATCTGGGGTGCTCGGTGGTTCTCTGGTCGAGGTTGGATGGTCCTGTCGCTGTTGTTGCTCCTGTTGTCGTTGACGCTGCTGCTGCGTTGCGTTCTGAAGGAAATTCTGGTATGCTTGCTGTTGTTGCGAGTTGAAGTCAAACGCGAACGTTGCCATTTCACTGCTGTCCCCCCTCTGTGCTTCTTCATCAAGGCTGGAAAAGGACGAAGGCGACCCCTTACTTTTCCCGGCGGTCACGGCGATTGTTGACTCACTCTCGATCCCTTTTCCTTTCATGGCTTGTCTCGCTTGTTCCCGCCACATTCGTCGCTGCATATATTTTCTGAACAGCCAGAAGATGGCGAATGATAGCCCGATACCCCCAATCACACCCGCCAAAATCGCCCCGGTCAATCCAGAGGTACCGAAGCCGGATAGCTTGGTTTCTGGAGCAGGTGTGGGCATGGTGTTAGGACACAGAGTTCGAGTGAATACATAGGGGGCATGCGGCAAAGCATTTGCGAGGTGGAATGTGGGCGGAGAAGAGTCGTAGTTGGCGACGAAATAGAGTTGAGAGAGGAATGCGGAGCCGAACAAGTTGATTGTCTTGTTTGTAGTGTTATCTGCACTGCTGCCTGTAGCAATTGGGGAATAGTTGGAGACATTTTTGAGCCAGTCGGAGTCATATGTGATAGTCAATCCGGACTCAAGGGTAATAATTAGCTTCGAATCGAAATCGTCTGGGAGGCGGAAGACCTCAGGGTCATCATTTGAAGGTGTCGCGCCTGTTTTCTGGGCAAATTTTTGAGTGACATCGCTGGGGAGGTTTAGGTGGTATTGTGATGTGGTGAGATGGGCATTAAAGCTCTCTGTAAGGAGGTCTGTTTTCGTCCCATCGGGGGCGGTGAGCGTCATTTGTTCGACGGAAACCACGAAGGGACTGTGCTGGGCATCCGGCTGAGCAGGGCTAATCGTGAAATTATGCACGTCGCCATCAAATCGACCCGAGTCATAACCGCCTAGGGTTAGAGAACCGTTGATAGCGCCGTTGGCTTGTTCGTAGGCAGTACCCATGTACAGGCCAAAAGACCGTGAAGAGATCAATTGGAGATCGTATAGATGGTCCAGGAGAGTGCTTTTCGGTCCGAGGCCGAGCAGTCCCGCTGGGCCAAACCACGGAGTCGTGCTGCCTGAGTAATTTGACATTATCGTAACCGGGAAGTTCGGGATTCGAGTGATATTTGGTGGCGAAGGATCGTAGTAGTGCGTGAAGAGGTTGAATGCGTCGAATGCCGTTTGAAGGGTAGTGGCAGGGATTGAGCCATAGGTATCGAGTGATTGATATGATGAGCCCGAGGAGTAGCTGTATGGCCATGTTAGCATTCATGACGACAGGAACAAAACCTTTGAGGCTTACTTTTGTGACAGGTCGGGCGAATAGAACCCATGGGCATGATTAAGACAGTCTTTGAAGGGGCTGTTTGTACAGTAGTCAAGGCTGGCCACTGTTGTCTCGTTGTTCGAGAATGACGGCCAGTGCGACATGTTTTGCGATATCGGGAAGCCAGCCCCGGTAAACAAACCATATTGCTCATTGACCCCACCGTCGACAGCTCTGGCATGGAAGTCGACGTAGACCGGGACAATAGAACAGTTGTTCTGTGCGGCAACAACGGAGACAAAGAGAAGAAATGCTCCCAAAACCGCGGCCATGATTTGAAACAGTCAAAAACAGGATTGACAACCGGGCAGTATTGGGCAAACAGGTAGCGACCGCCGCTCTGGTAAGGCTGGTGAGCAGCACAATGGCGAATGCATACAAAAGGAAAAGGGAAAAAGGAAATAGAAAGACGATGACCCCAGAAACCACTTACAGAAAGAAGGAAATGATACAGGTGGGATGAGGCGATACAAGAGGAAAACTGATGACCATACGGTTGGCAGGTGCCTTCAAGACTTGCGGTGGTCAGCCTGGCCGACTTGAGCATTTACGAGCAAAAGCTGAAACGGACTGAGGTAGGACGGAGGCGTTACAAGAGACGCCGCGCTGGAGAAAGGCCATTGATGCAGTGCGGTTGTAATTTTTGTCATTTTCTGCAGTAGGCCGCATCTTGGGCAGCCGGGGAATATGTCGAGAGGCGGGAAAGACGTCGGGACCAGGGTTCGACCAGGGCCGATGGATGGTGTGGCCTGATGCAAGCAGGCGTCAATGGCACCGAGGGGAGGATTGGCAGATCAAGTCGGGTTTCCATTTTTAGAGGCAATCCAGCTTGGCGCCTGCCGAGGCCCAATAAAAAATGTCGCTTGGCGGCTCACTGACCGCTGGTGGAGCTTGGGCCAATGAGAATAGAGAAGCATATGGGGCGGATCAGAATGCCGGGCTGTATAGCCACAATCTGGTCCGGTAGATGGCCACTCATACAATCCAAGAGCATGCTGAGTCGTGCGCATTTGCCGCTCTGTCATATCCCAAATTTTGTCTCCAACATATCGGAAATTTTGGGAAGCCCTGCACAAGGCATCCTCGCTATCCAATCAAGGTGGTCTCGCAGGGTCTGGGCCTTTGATAAAGTATGCGACCAGACAGGTCGTTGTCGATCCTTAGGATTTTGGCTTCTTTCTCACCAAGCTGGACAGCAATGTATTGGCGGTCAATGCAGAGGTTGGGAGCGTGCTCTCAACTGCGGTGGTGCCATTCTCCATCGTGTCCGCCTTCCTCTTTTTGCGGACGCCAGTCAGCATGTTAACTTGGGTTGATGACACAATGTCCGGCACTGGGGGCTGAGCCAAGACCGGGGCAGCACGGCCATGTATGGGACGCCCAAATGAGGCCACCTTGGACAGTTCCATAGCCTTATCGATCCAGCTTCTCGTGGAATCTGCAGCGAGGCCTTCACCAGCAAAGTCAGTCTGCAAAAGATGATCCATCAGGGCCTGATATTCATTAACGCTCATGACAAGCTCGCCCCGCGTGTCCTTAGTTGCGGATGACATTGACCTTTCACCTCGTGCTGGCGCAGGAACACCTTGGTTTGCATTTTGAATTTGTTCGAGGGTATTCGATCCAGGTTCGGGCTGTACAGGGGAAGAGGAAGGTGGTGAGCCGGGTTCTGTGATCATTTTAAGGGCCGTAGCAGTCGGCGGGTCTGGCTCCGTCACGCCGGTCCCCCGCTGGTGAGGATTCTCAGGGGTAATAAGGCTCAGTTGAGTGGGTGTCTTGCTCAAGTTCTCCGTCTGACCGGTTTGTTCAAGTTCGCTTCGAGCAACGTGTTCAGTCTGACCCCGGGAGAAGACCAACCAAAGAAAACCAACCAGTCTTCCGGCAGAACATTCCTGTCTATAGGACATCATCTCCCAGAATTGATCAAGACTTTTGACACTACGCCAGTGTCCCTTCTCATCGACAAAGTCCCCATTTAGGTCATCGAGAAACCGTGCTTTTGGGTCGTCGGGAAGGTGGGGGATCACATGCCTGGGAGGTATCGATGGATCAGTCACCAGAAGGCTGGCTGGATATGAACTGACCCATTTCGGATCTGAAGACGAATCCGCTCGACTTGATGGCGGGAAAAACGTTTTGGTTTCGCTCTTGTCGCATCCAGGGACCAAGAGATGGGCGGTAGCCATTGAATCACGACTAGGATGCCGTAACACCCTATCAAGCACTCGACACCACCATTTGATGAGCTGACGGTCGTCCAAGATGTGTTTTCCCGCATTCTCGGAACTCCCCGGGAAAAGATATTGGTTCTGCGAGCGGGCGAAAAGAGACACGACAACTCTTGAACTGGACAGACGAGATTCTAGCAAGAACTCTACAAAGGTAGAGGTGATGGCAGCGACGGCAGACGGAGAGCGTTTTTGTTGATTGAGACGTGAAGAGAACCCTGAAGAGTCGGCTTTAGAAACAAAAATGGTGACCAGGGACTGGGTCGTGAAAATCAAAATCTCGATGGCGTAGACTAAGACCTCTTTCTGGCCCTGATGCTCGGGAGAGGACACAGCCAGAAAATGTGACTCGCAGAGAGTGGCCTCCTCGTCATGGCCAGTTAGAGGCGTGAACAGGGCAGGTACCGGTGTAGGCGGAGTTGACAAATGATATGCCCGAAGATCCAGACCAAGTGGGAGGACGGCGGCAAGTCGCGACGGGAGAGACAGCTTGTCGGCCATGGCTTCCTACATAGGTGCTTAAGTGTCTAGGTGCCTAGGTACATGGTGAGGCGCGAATAGAAACTTGAGCAAATGGAATAATGAGCCGAAGATTTGTCAATTTGTGGGCAAGGTTGACAAGGCCAGGCCAGAAAGATGAAGCCGGTGAACAATTAAGGAAAAAGAGAGAATACAGGGTCGACGCGCTGTCCCGTCCAGGCCTAGTGCATTTTATCAGCCAATAACAACTAGACTGCGTTGAACCCCACAGTCTCAGCCTCACCCCTCGACCCCCAACACATTCTAGCCTTCAGCTTCCCCTCCTCTGCCCTCCTCCAAGACCAGGCTCGCTGTCAATTTGCCTTTTGTCCCACCATTCTTTCCAGCCTGACATATAAAGTCTCAAGTCGACTGAACTCCGGAAATTCTCTACCACCGTCCTTGTAAGTGTCTTTGCTGTCTGTGGTGCATTTTTGTCCAGACCTCCTTGCAAGCAGCGCCATCCACAATGGAGCAAAATGCACTAGAGTATAGCGACAACGATATCAATGTGACTTCACAATCTACTGTCCATATCACGCTCTGTCTGAGCGGTGCCACCGACCTCCTTGCGCCAGAAGCCGTGTCGCCTCTACCACCGAGACCACTTCCCTTCAGGACGACATCGCATGCAGAGAGGCCAGTCGAAATGCCGTGCAACACCAGGGGCCTCAACTCTGTCCGTGAGAACGGCCAGGATGGATTGGCATTGGGGACATTCAGCCATACAACGCCCTACTGGCCGTCGACGCCTCGCCAGGTGGAGATACCTACCTTCATATTTGGACGACCATCTGTGGACCAGACCGTCCCAGAAACTCAGCAGCGGCGAGTTCCGGCAGGTGAAAAACAGTCTGCTGTAGTATGGGGTTGTGGTGGTTATGCCACCGACCGCTCTGAAGAAGAGTCTGAAACAGATTATGACGCGGTAACGCAGGCACATTTTAGCCGGCACTTGGGGGTCATCGATTGCAGCAGCAGGTTCCATTCTCAACATAAGAAAGGGCAGGAGGCGGGAAACGCTGCTCTATGGGACTATAACTTGCAACTGCGGTTGTTGGAACAGCAGAACAAGAAACGGTTGATGGTGTACCGAGCGAGCGCCACATAGGCGCGGGAATATACAAAACGGACGTAGGTGGGTCAGCTCTTCCTGAGGGCATATATGACGAAGATTCAGGATATAGCACGCCTCCTTTTTTGCAACATGAATGACTTGATATAGGAACACCCCTCTGGCTATTTGTTTTTCCATTTTTGGAGGGGGGGGGGAGAGAGAGAGAGAGAGAGAAGGGGGGAGACACCACCACGCCGGCAAACCTTCCTTACGAGGTGATAGAGGAACACAGGGAAAAACCTTCTGGCCCCTGCGACACTTCGAGCCCAACTTCTGGAACTTCAATATCCCACACACCACTGTTCCATACAGCCATACTCTTCACATATCGTCGATCTAGAGTCCTTCCTCTGGCTCCTCGGGCTACTGTGCCGTAACTCCGCTTTTGATGCTCCGCGAAATCATTGTTACATGAGTATATCTGCGCTCTGTGGACAGGCCGTGTAACGAACCACCATGCTGTAGCTGACCTCCAGGCCATTTTCGCTCTCCTACTTTCCTTGCTAATGTATCATGTCTATCACCAGTCCCGAGAAAGAAGAAACGCGCAAAGAGGGCAGTCCTCACAGTGACGAAGATAGAGAAGCGGACGACCATGATTCCTCGCCTGCAAAGTCCATAGACCAAGATCCAGAAGCCCAACATCCCCCAGAGTCTCTGGCAGCCAATCCTCCTCTTCCTACCGAGGAAGAGCCTCCCCCGTTGCCCAACGAGGCACCGCCCCCCCAGCCAGTCGATGATGGCTGGGAACCGATCTGGGACGACCATGCTCAGGCATTCTATTTCTTCAACCGATTCACAAACGTCACCCAGTGGGAGAATCCGAGAGTACCAGAGGCATCAAGTCAAACCGGTCCACCAGGAGTTGGGAACCACGAGAGAATAGTGGGAGAACGGGGGCCTCCTGCAAACCGGGTTGGCGGATACGATCCTTCCATTCACGGTGATTACGACCCCAACGCCGATTACGCCAAAGCCTACGAGATCTCATCGGTGGACACCGCACCCGGCGTTGCTCCAGGCACAAGTCCTGCCGATATGTATGCCGCATCGGGCACCTTCAACCGCTTCACGGGGAAATGGCAGCGACCAGATCTCAATCCTGAGAAATTCACCGACGAGCAAAAGAGCCGACGGCAGATGAATGCCTTCTTCGATGTGGACGCTGCCGCAAACAGTCATGACGGCAGAAGCCTGAGGGCCGAAAGGGCAAGCAAAAAATTGACCAAGGCAGAGCTTAAAGCATTCAAGGAGAAGCGGAGGGAGAAAAAGGAAGAGAAGCGGCGGGCATGGCTGAGGGATTAAACACCGGTTATGGCCAGGTCCAGCATTGCGTGATGGATCAAAGGCACGAGGGCAACAAGACACCCAGTAGCTTTTGCATGATTGTTACTGTGTGTACGGAGCATACGGCGTCTAGATGAGTCTAGGTAGCGTTCTACAAGTAGTGCTCGGCTCACCGGGGTTCAGCAGAAAGCCGGAATTTCGGGAATCGACACGATTTTCTCGAACGAAATTCAAACCCCCCCAAGTAAAAATCATGATTCTTTGTTGTACCTAGATTACTCGAGAGCGAAAAATCTGTTTGTCATTCACGGTTTAGCCCTGGAGGGTGAGTGAAGGCCGTTTTAGCCTGAGCTTTAACTGGACCTTTGGCTGCGCATCACTGACGGCTCCCTGTACACTCCCTGAGCAATCTCATCGGGGCTTAGTCTGGCCCCTTGCAGTCAGCTCACCAGCCATACCTGCCTCTCGGCCAGGCCCTGTTTCAGACAGGCGTCAGGGAACCTGGCTTAACCTGGCTTTATATATTGCTCCACTTCGTCAGCCCGTAGACAATGCTAAGCAGCAGTAGCAGTATTATTATTATTATTGTCTTCAGGAAAGCTTTGACAGTACCCTGTACTGGGTACTCCCCAACTACACCCAGGCTTTTAATTAGAGACAGAGTATCTCCGCGCAGTGACGGTTCCAGACCACCTTCCACCCCGGCCAAACTGTTATTATCAAGGCTGTTCCTCTTAATTTTATATTGAATCACCAAGTACATTGCTCTTTTAGCGTCCCACGGCAATTTGGGGCCAGACAAGGACCAGGACAAACATCCCTTAGGAATTTCATAATAATCCAGTCATTAGCCAGGAATGCGAGTAACCTTTTCTGTCATCTTCTGGCCATTGATGTAGCACGCCACGAGATTTGCGGAAAATTCGTCCACCCGATGTCCCTTCGGTCTCCATGTCTGTGGATGGATCTCTTCCGTCTTGGAATCATATGTCTTGGCCATAGCGGTCTAAATTGAGACGCCACCGACAAAGGTGATTGTTAGAAATGCAGATATCCCATCCGAAGAAACTTGGATCTATGTAACCGATGATCGGGTGACGAGGACGCGGTGCCGTTATTTGGCATGGCTCTCGAACTGGGCCTCTAGAGGGTCAATATGACTGACCAGGACGCGATCTCCGCCCAGATAAAATGCCTGATCTAGTAGAATCTCTTCGTCCTCGAAAAAATGATCGCTTGTAAGCTGTCGAAGCTCAAGGAATACCATGCGACAATAATGAAGTCCAGTGATGGGGCCGAGACGAACGTCTTCGTAGATGCAGCGATCTCTCCAGGTCTGTCAGATATAATTCTGTATCTGGACTCGCCCAAAGCGCAGCCTCGGATCGCTCCGAGGGTGATGGCCTCGCAACTGACGAGCCATATCACCCAGATAATGCACCGACCCGAGATGATTTCTCCTTTCGAGTTGAATGTGCATTCCTCGACGCGCAGGGCAATACCGAAGACGAACTCTGCGCCTCGAACCTTAACGTTGGGGATTTCTTCAAGCCATGGTCCCGAAGTGATCTAGAGTTCTTTTAAAGGGAAGACCAGATGGCTCATGTAGCTTCCGACGGCTTAAATTCGATTCGCTACGTACTTTTTGTAGTGCGGTGGCCATCCGACACTCAGGTATATACGTCAAGTTAAATAATCTTAGCAGGCCGCCGATTCCTCGTCGCCAGCTGTGACCAACGAGAAGAAGCAACTCTCCCCTCCTTGAACACCGCCAACAGATGTTTGTCAGGTCGGTCAAGGACAGTAATATCCTCCAACGGGTTGGCATTCAAGATCAACAAGTCCGCCACGAAGCCCGGTGCCACCCTTCCAAGAGAGTCATGTCGGCGCATCATTTGGGCCGCGTTTATTGTTGCACTCTGGATGATCTCTAAGGCAGACTGCACGTTGTTCCGCAGCTGAAACTCCTTGGTCTGGGCAAAGTGCATGGGTCCCAGCAAGTCGGTCCCGAAGCATATGGTGACACCTGCCTCCTTGGCCAGTTCGATGGCCCTGAGCCCGGATTCGAGAGTGTTGTTGAGCTTCGCCATCGACTCTGGGCTCACGAAGGCTCCGAATTCGGGCATCGATGCTGCCGCATATGTCACCAGGGTCGGTGTCAGATAGACCCCTTTCTGAGCCATGAGCTCCGCGGTTGCTTTGTCGAGGTAGTTGCCATGCTCGATACCGAGGACACCACAGTTCACCGCTTGTTGTATCACAGCCGGGGTGTATGCGTGAGCCGTGACAAACGTTCCGGCATTTGAAGCCACAGTCGTGATCGCTTTGATTTCATCCTCGGTGAATTCGACATCACCGAGACCGCCGCGTGGGCTGGCGACTCCTCCTCCGGCCATGATCTTGATGAAGTCAGAGCCGAGACGGAGCTCTTCTCGCGTGAACTTCAGACACTCCGGCACCCCGTCCACGATTCGACAGGAGAGTTGTTTGGCGCCGCCGCAACAATGGCTGTCATCGAAAGCAGAACGCTTGTCCCCGCAGCCCCCGGACTGCGACAGCTGGCGACCTGCAACGAAAAGCCGAGGACCAGGATGGATGCCTTCCTCGAATGCCAATTTCAGGGGTAACAGTGCGCCGCCACAATCTCGCACAGTGGTGAAGCCCCGATCGAGCATCGCTTGCCCGATCTCAGGCTGGCGAAGAAGAGCCGTGTCCGAGGAGAGATTCAAGATCTCGTCAAGGCTGGTACAGCCTTGCACTGCCACCAGGTGCACATGGCAGTCCCAGAGGCCAGGTAAAATGTATCGGCCCTCAAGATCGATGGAAAAGATGTCTCCATCGTGAGTGGTATTTCCACTCTCGTCCCCCACAGATTGTACGAGGCCTCCTTCCAACATGACCGTGGTGTTGTGCCGTACACTCCCGTCAACGGGATCAATGACATGGGCGTTGGTGAGAAGGTATGTCTGGTGGCGTGGCTGTTTCCATGGCGTTGTCACAGTATCAACGTCTATTGGGGGATCGAACTTCAGGAGCGGTATCGCCATCTTTTTTGCGCTCAAGTCGAATTTCTCGAAATGATAAAACCAGGTCGAGAGAGTTGTAAGTACCATTCGAGCACCCTTTGATTAACTAGCTCCCGATCACATCGTCCTTTCCCGTCTTATATCACCCCAGTATCCGGTGATTGCCAGGACTAGGGACGGTTACGTCACTTCTCTGAGATCTACATACTGGGGGCCCACACACGTTGGCCCTTCGTTGTGAACTTCTCTACGAGTCCAAAAGTGGATTCTGAAGCCCCTTCTGTGGGGACGGGATCCTCGATTGCAGCCCCTGCCAAATCCTTTCCCTTCTCAGCGAGCCTCCAAACCCAATTACGATCAGTCTAGGACCTGGCGTTGGCGCTTCACTAATTACACTTGTCAGTTTCCGAAGACAGATATCAAGTCTGGCCGAAGCTAAAAACATGCGTTACATTGATAGCCGATCGACTGCCCGGGCCTTGCATAGAGAGTACCCGATAACCGGACCTGTAATGCTCGCGAGACCGCGATATTGTTTTCGAATCCCTTTTACCAAGGCCAGAGCCCTCTCAAAACGAAGCTAGGAGAGGCACAACATTCGATCAACCACCCAATTACTCTGCATTTTTGAGATCGTGCAAATTCCAGCACAGTTCCCAACATGGCATCACAGACTACTGACAATACATACCTGGACAAGCATGACTCGCCCAACTCGATCCACGTCGCTGATGCCGCGAGCACAAACATCGTCGATGAGGCCATCAAGCCACAGGTCGACGCCACCCACGTCCACACCAGTCTCGATCCCTATACCTAGGCATTGGAGCTTGACCTGGAGCACCTGGAACGGCTCGCAAAGCGAGTACGACGAAAGCTGGATTTCATCCTTCTCCCACTGGTATGTTGATGATTCTCCCGGTCCTGCACCTATTGCTGATATCTCACAGATGGTTTCCGTCTATATGACCGCCTACCTCGAAAAGACGGCCCTGAACTACGCCAATGCTTTGAGCTTGCAAGAAGACCTGGGTCTCAAGGGACGATAGAATTCCCGGACGGTTGCCATCGGCGGCTTGGGAATCATGATCGGATCGTATCCTGCCAGTCTGGAGGTCCAGAAGCTGTCCGTCGGCAAACTGATTTCCAGCTTGCTGTTTGGCTGGGGTCTCTTCTCCATGGTCCTGGCTGGTGCAAAGAATTTTGGGACCATCTTCGCCATGAGGTTCCTCCTGAGCATCTCCGAGTTCGACATCGGTCCGGCCTGGCTCGTACTCACCAGAATCTTCCGGACTCGCCGACATTGTTGGCGCAGGTATCGCGGTGGGACTTGGTAGCGTCACAAACACGGCTATTCGCTCGTGGCAACTCGTTTTCCTGCTAATATCAATGTCTGCTTTATCTTCACTCCCATCCTTCAAGTCCACGAGACTCACAGATGGACAGGTCGTTGGATGGATCGCCGTCGTCCTTAATATGATCTGCTTCTTCTTTTTGCCATCTGGTCCCAGTGACGCAAAATTCTTGACTCGAGAAGAAAAGCTTGCCGCGCTTTGGCGCATTGCGAGGAATCAGACTGGCATCAAGCATGGCAAGGTCCTCAAGTATCAAATCTACGAAGCGCTGCGGGACTTCCGGGTCTGGTGCCTCCTCATGCAACAGTTCACCATTGGTATGGCCAGCGGTGCCCTCGCCGGCTATTATAGCGCATTCCATCGAGGGTTCGGCTGGTCGCCCATTGAATCAGTCAGGTATCAGCTGCCTATCGGCGCGGTTCAGCTGTTTGCAACCATCGTTACAGGCTATCTTGCCTCACGCTACCGCAATCGCACCATCATCATCATCCTGGTGCTCGCCATCTTTGCCGTCGTGGCCACGGTCAGATTCTACACTATTCCGGCAGATCAGAAGATAGCGCTCACGTCATGCACTTGGAATGTGTCGGTGTACGGAGTGCGATTGTGCTCAACTAGGCAATCGTAGCGGCCAACTTTGCCGGCAACACGAAACACACGACCGTCAGCGGCATCAACTTCGTCGCCTTCTAGATCGCAAACTTCGCGGGACCTTTTGTTTTTGACCCCAAGGAGGCACCACGCTACCCATCGGCGACGACTGTTCTGGGCGTGATGCTTGGCGTAGGCTGGGTGGTCACGGCCGCCATGGGTATCTGGATGTGGAACGGGAACAGGAGGCGTGATGCGAAAGCCGCGGCGGGCGACCACACCTACGATCCTTCGAAGGGCAATATCGATGGGTTCACAGACTGCACCGACAAGGAGAAGTCTTCCAGGTACCGCTATTGCGAAGACGCTGCCCTGCATGGACGACGGCGTGCGTGCATGTGTCGTCAAGAGACTGAAAATGGCAGAGGTCTGTTGGAGAGGACTCTGGAGATGTGGAGGCGTCCGTGACCTTTTGCTAGTAAACGCAAGGATCTAGTCGAAAACACGTGCTACCTCAACAGGAGACGCAGTTCATACAACCTACTCGCCCCTACAGAGATCGCCCGTGCAGCGACAGAGGACCAAACTCCACTTCGCACGCGCATTGCAACAAGCGGAGAAGCGTAAAAACAGTTTGCCGCTTTGAATGCTGTCCGTGCGGGAGGAGTGGTGCCTGAAGTTGTTGAACTCGGGAGACTGCATTGTGATGATCTCAGAGCAGCAGAATCTCCACCTCCAGGTTCCTCAACACCTCCCTCCAATCCACGAGGATGTCGCCGACCTCGCACTGCCGTTGCGCGGCGACCTCTTCGCGTTCACTCCATATCTGCTTCACGACCCGGTGAATCACCCCACGGTTGGCGGCTCCAAAGCTCGTCGAGAGGCTCAAGACGCACTCCGCCAGTGCCTGCGCCTCGGCCGTGTAGGCTTCGGCGGCGGCGATGAAGATGGGCCAGATCGAGACTGCGGCGCGGTCCATTTCGAGGAGCGCCACCGCCGCAGAAAGAGTTTGGGACACCTGTTCCGCGACCGTCGAGGGTGGATAACGCAAGACCACGCGAAGGAGGTAGATGGTCACAGCGGAGTTAAAGAGATTCAAGTTCGACACGATGAATTTCCGCTGTTGTGCCGGTGCCTCGATCGGCCGCTGTCTGCTCATGTAGAGCTCGACCTCTGCGTCCAGGGGGGTGTTAAGCGCGACGAAGATCTTGCTGGCCTGAAGCAGTTCGTCCTCTGACAGGTCAGGCTTGCCACCCCGGAAAGACCCTCTCGCGGCTAGCTGTTCCTCGAGGAGGCGGGCGTGGTACAACGCCTTCATCAACCGAGGTGTGCTACCGAGCGTATATGCGAACCGAGGGTCGGCCGTGACATCTTCCAGCACTTCATGGAGCGTCATGGCCGTACTGGAGGTGTTGGTCGCGCTGCCGCCCGCAATTTGAGACATGAGCGTGTGCAGAACAAAACTTTGCGTGATTACCCACGCCTCGTAAGAAGTAAGCCAAGGCTTGTGCCCCAGATACTGCGCCACGTATTGGATAGAACCCTGGAGATGATGCCTCAAGCCTTTGGACTGGCCGTGAAAGACGTGCTCGGCGAGCGTGACGGTCAGCATTGCCGCCAGCGTACTGCTGAACTTCTCCGTCGAACTGGCCAGGCTGCGACGGAGGTGACGCAACGCGATGCCGAAGTGCTGCGTGGCCGACCTGCGATAGCTTGCAGGGTTTGGCACATCGAGGTTGGAGAGGTGAAATGCCGACTGGGCCAGAATGCCGTGGAACAGAGAGCGAGTGCTGGTTGAAGTCACGTCGTGCACCGCGAGGCACGGGTATGTCGACTTCCATGGATTATAATCGTCATTAATTGGGGTCATCATAACGGACACATTAGAGATGTAGTGGTGGAAGAGCTCGTTATCCTCGCGTGATCCATCTGGTATCAAAGACGTCGACAATTCTGCCGGCATAGAGATCGTGAGAGGACCAAGATTTGCATGGTCAATGTAATCGGTTGTTTGTGGCGAAGGAGGTGTGTACGTGGTAGGGGTCGTGATCTCTGATGGTTCAGTTTGCTGGCCTTCCGGGCAGTCTGTACCCTCTTCCGGAGGCGTCGTCTCCTCGAATTGGGCGGACGAGGCATTAATCGATTCATAGCCTGAGAAAGCAATAAACGGACTGGGATGGCCATGCAGGGGACATCGACACCGTTTTTTCTCTGCGTGCGTGATCAGATGGCCCAGCTCCCTCAAGGTCCAGGTCGGATATCCGTCCCAGGTCAATTCGCAGGGATAGGCACGTCGCCGCTGCGGCTCATATCCCCCAGTCTCCGAGTCGACCCACACGAGTCGCATGTCGTAGCCCTCACAGGCAAGGCGCGAGCGAACGCACTGGGTACACCGGGGAACTAGATTGTCACAACGGAGACCTCGGCGGCGACAGGTCCAACACGCCGTGAAAGTCCGCTGAGAGGTGACTTTCGGCATCTCTAGTTGGCCATCGGGCTAATGGAGAAGCGGGTGTCTTCATCGGGTAGAAAATTGAAAGGAAAAGGAAGGTCAGGACGAGAGAATGTCTTCGGCCAGAGTCCTGCACTAAGTATCATCAGGGTCCTTTTGATGTCGATGATCAATGACCTACCCGGCTTGAAGAGGAAGTCCACAACGAAATCTTCTCCCCCACTTCACCGCGCTGGAGCAGCCTGATCTCTTTCTATTGGCCAGTCTAATATGGAGATGTCTGACCAAATATCGTGGTCGCTATTCGGCTATTCGATATGGTTCAAGCTGTGTGCCCGAAATAACGAGGTCTGGCCGTTGAATAGGCTGTTTGGGATACTTATGCGTGAATCTATAGAAAATCTAGCCAGCGCAAAGGCACTGGTGCATCTACAACTCTAGCTGACTCTCACACCGGTGTTGTTCGTCAACAGTTCGCCATAGAGCCCATCATGATCGATCCGCGCACAACAATTGAGGTCAGTGAGCATGAAAACCTACAGGCGGTCATAAATAATGTCTATAGCTAATATGCCGAGTCCAATCCCCGGTCCTTAGATGCGTACAATCGCAGCTGCGAGGTCATGCCTGGCGCCAACACCCGCACGTCTATTCATGCATCACCGTTCCCACTTCCGATCGAGAGTGGCCAGTCAGCCTACTTGTTCGACGTCGATGGCCATGAGCATCTATACTTCTTGGGTGAATTCTCTCCTGGTGATCAGAAAGACCATCACAGAAGCATTAGAAAAGGGCTGGAATTTTGGAACCAAAAACATGGATGAGGATCAGTTGACCAGGTCCCTTATGCGGCGTTTCAGTAACAGTATGGAATTGATCCGGTTCTGCAATTCGGGAACGGAGGCGAAGGCGATGGCTTTGGGAGCAGCGATCAATTTCACAGGCAAGAAAAAGGTCAGACACCGAAATCTAAGAGTCGTGGGCGACTAGCTCTTCTCCCAAGACCCTGGTATTTGCTAATGGATACCACGCCTGTACCATTCTGTTCCTGAAAGGATCGCTGAAGCACACTATGAACGCCCCCTACGACTTTGCCATCGCTCCATACAACGATATTGCAGGGACAGACTCTCTCATTAACGCACTTGCTCCTAACTCTCTCGCAGCCAGACTGGTTGAGCCTATGCAAGTCTCAGGGGGCCGTATCCCTGGCACCGTTTATTTCCTTCGACACCTGCGCGAGTTGGCGACCACCGAGAAGGAACTTCTCATTTTCGACGAGATCATGACTTCGCGACTAGACTACGGCGGTCTCCAGGTCGCGCTACGCATCAGGCCGGACATCACAACAATCGGCAAATGGACCGGTGGAGGCATGAGTTTTGGAGCCTTCGGTGCGCGAGAGGAAATCATGGAATGGTTCGATCCACGCAGCGAGAAGCTCGCCCACGCCGGAACATTCAACAACAACATCGTCACCATGGCGGCCGGAGTTGCAGGAAACGCATCATGACCAAGGAAAGGCTCACCGAGCTGAACGCCTTGGGGAGCAACTTGATGGTAGCCATATCGAAAACCATCGAAGCAGGACTGTCCGTCCCAAATGGCTCAAAGACGCAGCCTAAAATGTTTGTCATCGGGCGTGGGAGCCTCTTTGCGATTCGTTTCAGCGGGTCCCAGAGTGGGATCCTGCCCGAGCTGTTCCACCACCATCTTCTCACCAACGGCATCTTTATTGCGTCGAGAGGGTTCCTGGCCTTGACTCTCGAAACCACTCAGGCGCCCTGCTCACGCTTGCTCCGGGGAATTGAAAAGTTTATAGCCAAGTATGGATCGGCACCGTTATAGATGATCACGGCTCTATCCTCTGACACAAGATCTATCCCGATGGACTCTTTTGCGGCATTTGGTAGATTACATCTACCCTCTACACCTCACTAGTTGACTCACTGCTTCATGGCCTTATCCACCGCCATCGCGACAGCCATCAACTGTTCCCCTTGTAAGAGGGGAAATGTGTTATATCCAACATCCTTCTCGCGGTAAGGCTGATACACACAGTTCATCGTGTCATCCGTCGCTGCAAAAGACGCGACGGTCGTTAAGTTGCCATAGCTTCGGCACAAAAAGCACGTCAAACCCAACAATTAGTTACTTAATGCCTTGCCTTCGAGAGTTCCCCAATGTTGACCCTCGGGTTGACCACTCCATCGGTCCAAATCTTATTGTTTAGTATGTGCATTGCCTTCACTCCGGGTTTCTATCTAGCCTTGATTGTGGGTGACCCAAGTTGGCCAAGTCATCCCGATTTTGACGAAAGCACAGCTGCTCGGTGCTGGTGGCGGCCAACCGTCTTCTTTTCGCATGGCCAACATAACCAGCGGTGTTCTGAATGATATCTTCGCCGTTTCATCTGTGGCGGCTGGGACCATACTCAACATCTTCGGCCCTCGCATCACGCTCCTGGTAGCATGTACTGACTACCCAGTCTTCAACAGTGCAATATAGTACTTTACTGAAGAAGGCCACAGGTAGTATCCCATCTTCTCTAGTGTGTACCTCGGCTTCACGGCTGATCTACTCTGGACGACCAAAGTATCTATGTCGGTGGGATTCCTTGAGGAGAAGGACAAATGCGGCTGGCGTGAAATCCAGTGAATCTTTAACTTCGGTGGATGCACCATTAGAGCGGCCGTGGCACTGGGGATCTCCTGGAATGCTACCACAAGCAGCGTTCCTCGCGCTGTTGACATTACCCTCATTCTCCTCGTTGTCTTTTCACTTGGGTTTGCGGCGCTCATCTTCCCACCGGCAAAATTGAGGCGTTGCGATGGTGCCTCCGTCGCTCGATTCGAACAAATGTTCAGGCGAGAGACGGTAAATCTTACACTTAACACCTTTAAAAATTGGCGCGTCTTGTTGTTGGTTACCTGTATGTTCGCTCCGCAGAACTAAAGGTTCAGAGAAGCTTATAGTCGTAGAGATTAGGGAATAGGCAAGGACTGTGATGAGGTCAATCGTGATGGCTCGCCAATTGATGCTGCTCATGGTGCTAGTTAATTGCCTTCCCTCACGCTTGCGAATTAACTCTAATCGAACAACTAAATAAATACAGGGAGAATGAAGGTTCTATCCTTGGTACATGAGAGAATAGGATCTTTCATATTCTCGATAGCTAGCTTCTTAACTACATTTGCATCAATCATTCATTTGCTATTGACACCTAGAGTATCGCAATTTCATAAATTCGAGCTTACAGATCCCATAGTTGCCCAGAATCCAGAGGGTCGTTAGATTCTCAGCCGTCTAGGCGAAGTTCTGTACCTTGCAGTTCGTCTGGATACGGATGAGGAGCTGGCCAGCGTCGTTCAAGATATCGACACCGTGGTCATACCCAGTAAGCACGAGGCCCTCTTGCGAAACCTTCAGTCCATCGGGGACGCAGTCTTGGGCCAAACAGAACGCACACTTGTTTTAAACTCTTCTTTCATTGATCTTGATACCCCAGGCGTAGATGACTCTCTTTCCAGTAGTATTGTAAGTCGTTTCCTCGCTCCCAAGACGAGGGTCAATCGTTCCCGAAACGGCGCCTATCTCAGAGATGTATGGCGTGCTGCCATCCGGCGAGAACGCAATGCTATTTAGTTCTCCGAGACCGTCCGCACCGTAGTCTGGAGTACCGGGATAGCGTATAGAAGGCAGCTGAGATGTGGTATCGGTGAGGGCGATGTACCGGCTGTAGGCCGGGTCAGTGAAGAAGATGTCTTTCATGACAGGTGCACTGCCAGGTCGTCAATATTGTTAAAGTAGAAGCCGAAGTGATTATTCAAGAGCACGACGACCGATTCGTAGCGGAATCGATGGTGCGAATCGAGACTCTTTGCTCGCTTCCCCGACACTATCACTGCCTCCGTTCGCGCCGAAAAGTAACAGGCATTCTAGAAGGTGCCCCTGTTCGGTGCGTAGATCGGTGGGTCTAGCAAATACTCGCTGAGTGTGAAAGGGCCATCGTTGAGATTGACAACCAGTTGAGGTAGGTAGCCAGTCGGCGGTGCGAGCTGAGATATAAACAGCAAGTTCTGCTCAGGAGCATATGTGGGAGCCTCGTGTACTGCTTTTGACACGGAGAAGACGAATTCATAGCTCGGGTTGGAACCCAAATACTAGGAGCCCCTTTCGCGATCGAAGACAACTAAGTCGGCACCTACCAAAAGGTCAAATGACGTCGCATTCGGAACGCTGATGTTCCTAACGTCATAGTCGGCGTTGTTGTTTGAGATGGACCCGTTGAAATGGTAAGGGAGGACGGCGGCCCTGGTAGCGTCAGCGAAACAATTTAGGAATGTGAATGGAAAAGCTCACGTATTGGTTAACATTAACGACCTTTCCATTAGATCCACACTCTTCGACGATAGGTCTGGTCACCCCGGCAGACTGCGCGGGCGTGAGAGCAGCAGTCATTTACCGTGGTGACACGTCACATAGTAAAGCGATTCGAAATAATTTGTCTATTCTCTAATGGCCCTCTCTTATAACATTCGCTGAAGAACGAATTCGAAGGGAGCTAGTGTAAATAGTTAATACCGGAAAGACTATACTTGGCCTATATATGTTCAATATCTCTATATCGTAAGCGAGGGTCGGCGTATTTACATCTATGGAGATCATTACAAAGCTGGTCTTTCACGAGATCATCGGACGAAGTGGGCAGCAGTCCATGACTGCCACGTAAGAGAGCATCACAGGAGGTGCCTAACTAAACAGTTCGAGCACATTAGAGGGGTAACGAATTCAGATCCGCCAGCATCTCAAACGGGTCCCTTTGCCTAAAGCTAACCGAAGTTGGTGTTTGTGAATGAAAAGGAAGAGTTAGGACCAAATACTCAGGCAGACTCCAGGGCGCTCCACTAAAAGCGCTGGGGTCGCATAGGAACCGGCAAGTGAGCCGAGGGTGAGCAAAGCGGCGAGTGGCTAATTAACCAGAGATGATGGCTCGACGGGCTGTACCCAGTAGGTTTTTCGCTCAACTCCACTCAGCGAGGACTCTCTTTCATTCCCTTGCCTCACGTTCATTGCTTGTTGCGTCCAACATGCGACACTCATGCTCAGAGATCATATCGCGGTGATTTGCATCGCTTGGTACATTTTCATAGCTTGCGTCTGCGCCATTGGTTACGTTTGTTTGTGCGTCTGGCGAATTTCTCGCAATTCCCACCTTTCAAGAACCTCCCGTTGCCATACTGACTGCGGCTAACGTAGGTTTCTCTATTATCGCCAAACCCCTTCCCGAGGTGCTGTCCTCTCTCGGTCGGCCAAGCAAGACATCCCCAATGTCACGGTCATTCGCCCCTGCAAGGGCGTTGAACCCTATCTCTACGAATGTCTCGCTTCGACGTTCCAACAAGATTACCCGCGGAATAAGATAGCAGTGCATTTCTGTGTCTCGTCGCGAGCCGATCCGGCTTACGCAATCATCGAGAAAGTGGTAAATGACCACCGAGGTCACAATGCGCGGGTATTTATCGAAGAGGAAGACGACGGGGTTGCCAATGGGGATCAAGAGGAGAGCAATTATCGCCGCTCTCTGGGTCCTAATCCCAAGATCCGGAACATGAGCAAAGCATACCGCGAGGCAGGGGAACGGGATCTCGTCTGGATCCTCGACTGTAATATCTGGGTGGGCCAGGGCGTTTGTGCGCGCATGGTCGACAGGTTATGTGGTTCCACGAGAGGAGGAGTCCCGCCGGCAACACCATATAAACTGGTCCATCATCTCCCCATATCGGTCGATGTGGATCTGGACTCCGACAAGTCAGGTGGACGGGCGGTAGACTCATCGTTCTACAGCAATGTTACTGCCACATCACCCCAAATTGTCAGCAAATTTCCCATTGGTATCCCGGCTAGACTAAACCCACTCAAGCAGAGTGCTGGTGGCCGCATCGAAGAACTCTTCCTCTCCTCCTCCCATGCAAAGATGTACGTTGCCATCAACACTGTGGCCGTCGCGCCCTGCATCCTGGGAAAGTCAACCATGTTCCGCCGGGTGCATCTGGACTATCTCACGTCCCAAAAGGTCACCGAGGAAGACAGACGTGACGCGAGCAGAGACCGGAATCGCTATGATGCAGAAAAGACGGGTTCGCAGAATGCCAAGATTGGCATTGATTATTTCTCGCACAACATCTGCGAAGACCATCTCATCGGCGATCTCCTCTGGAAATCCCCCGTACCGCCTGTCCCTGGTGTTCCACAGAAAATGAGAAACCACGGACTGGTGTACGGCGACCTCGCAATCCAGCCAATCAACTCAATGTCACTCCAGTCTTACATGTCCCGGCGTGTTCGGTGGTTGAGGGTGAGAAAATTCACGGTTCCGGTCGCGACGCTGGTTGAACCTGGCACGGAGAGCTTTCTCTGCTCGATGATGGGCGCTTGGGGCTTGACAACCTGCAGTGCGACAAAAGGGTGGGCTGGGGAATCGTGGGGGCGATTTTGGATGTGGTGGTGCGTGAGCATACTCTGCTGGATGGCGGTGGACTGGACCGTGTACTTGTTGCTGCACTCGGGTAGGACTGTGGAAACGCCTACATCCACATCCACGTCCTCATCTACAGGGTCCAACACAGACTTGGCAGCTGGAGCCGAAAACGGAGGAGACAAATATGCCAAGGTACCTGCGTTCGCCAGACCACTATCGGCAGCCATCCGCTCGCGGCGGGGATTTACAATCTGGTTCCTCGCGTGGCTGGGCCGCGAATCCCTCGCCCTCCCCATTTGGACGTGGGCGATCTGGGGCGGGACGAGCGTGACCTGGCGCGAGCAGCGGTTCTGGGTCGGGTGGGATATGAAGGTGCACGAAATCCGAGACGGGAAGGCCGATCGGCGGCGCAGAAATGAGGACGATGATGGAAGTCTGATGGAGAAGACTAATGGACATGCAACGATTACGAATGTGAATGCGAATATGAATGTGCATGTGAATGGGGCCCCGAGGAAGCGGAAAGCGCGAAAGTATTGAGTGAGTGGGTGAGTGAACCAAGTGGCAGGGTGAGCGAACGACATGGCTGCGCAAATGATGCACGACCAGGCCAGTCCTTGTTACGAAAAAATCTTTCTGAAGAAAATACCTATGTCCGAGGCCAGTGAATGACGGACGGGATAGACGGATGGATAAACAGACGGACGGACAGACAGACACGAATTAGATGATGAGCCGGCGGCGAGATCCAGGATATCACTCAACACACAGGCAGGCCCTGGAGTACATAGGTAGAATAACCTCTTAATCCTACATAATATGCCATGCCACACACGAAATCCACAGGCCGAGTAAAACAACCCTTAAGCATCTATCAGCCTCTGCCTTCTCTTCCGCATGGCTCGGTGTTTGACTCATTTATGTGTCTATGTATCCTATCACAGGCACATAGCGCAGGTAGGTACACTCTGTCCATACGTACCAGTTCTTAGATTCGTCTTCCCCGCAAGACAGCTCGGTTTATCCTCGTTCGTTCACTCTCACGTCGCTCTTCCCTTCGAGTTGTAGCTAGACGCAAAGAGGCAGCTGACGTTATGGAGGATTGGAAGCAACGAACACCACACTGCCCTTTGATTGACCCCCTGCATAGTTCGTCCGTTGGCTCGTTCTTTTACCTCCCTGTGTCTCTCGACTCTCTCATTTCTAACATGCACACATGCACACGTTAAAATCAGAACAAGTATCTCTGCTCTTTTCTCGCCGTACACACACTCATCCCATCAGTCATGGAATCAGCATGTCAAAAATCATACTCTCATTATTACCCGCCCATCATCACCCCATCGATAGAACAGCAGGTCAACAGGGCCGAGCGTCATTTCGACCAGCACAGCTCGGAACATAGCCGTCGTCGCAAGGAATGGGCCGCACCCAAGATCCCCCACCAACTGGCCAGTGCCAAGCTCTCGAGCCGCTCTACGGTCAAAACCGTCGCTTTCCACCGTAAGCCGTTTTGCTCAGGCATTCTAATCTGGAATGTCAACCTCTCCAGCGAGACAGTGGAGTACTTCGCTTCCTGCCCAGGGCGAAAGAGGAACATGCCAGCCGTCACTCTACACTCAGGGACCGACGACACTAGTCCTGTCCTTGGTACGGCCCATTTTCGGTGCTCTCACCAGACCATATTCGGAATAGGAGATCCTAAGACGGATCCAAATGGCGTGGTGTGGGAGCAGATGCAAAGTTCGTCCAGGTGGCTGGGAAGGAGGAGGTTCAAGTTCGAATTCACTGACCGTGGGAAATCGAATGCTGTGGATAGTCGCTCAAGTCTCCCTTCCAGGCGACACCTCCGTTGGCAGAGAACTGTAGATCCTGCAGACAGCGCCGATAACGTTACTGCGAAGCCCTCAACGAGAAATTACAGGCTGACGGATCAGGGTGATGGGAAAGTCCTGGCTGTGTTCGTGATGGGTGATCTCAACTCTGTCAGGAAGGAGGGTGAGCTCCGGGTTCTCCAATGGCTGAGTCCGAGTCTCGAGATGGCGGTCATCTTGACTTGCGCCAGCATATCAGAGAGGTTGAGGCGCGACTAGTTAGGTGCTTTACTCTTGGATCATTCCTGATCATATTGAGTTGGCAGAAGATATCCTCAAGCCGTCACCGCATGGGCGTCCGTCTGCATGAACAATTCAGTTTTCGAGGTTTGACGGTTGCTTGGAATCCATGCAGCTGGACAAGGCGTACCAAAGGCTGAGCAACTCGTTAGTTGAAGAATGGGAGCTCACGAAGGTTCCTTACCCATTGCATGTTTGCTTCGTGGTGACAGCAAGGCTCTGTTATCCTTGTAGTGACAGTATCGCCGCGAGTCCCGTCTCCTGGCACTTTGTGGTATCTGATCTCAAGGGACCCGTCTTTTACACGATCAACACTGTCAACCTTGATACGCTGTACCCTCATTAAAGTCTCGCCGTATGCTTCTTCGATTCCAACAACTGTCTTAGCCACGGCATAAGCCACGCAGCTATTCCAGTGGCCTTCGACGACCTTCAGGTCTTGTAAGGCCTCCAGCGCGTTCCGGCGGATGTCGCGAACTCGGCATAGTGTGGCAATAAAATACAATGGCGAGATGAAACCCAGGTGCACCTTCAGGACAAGCTTGCTGTCCTTTCCCTTTTCCATTGTGGTATAGCCACTGCGCAGGAAGGTGCGCAGTTGAGCAAACATGATCCGAAAGTCTGCGGCGGCGCGGTTGTACCAGCAGTCGTTATCTGGTGGAAGGGTCTTCAAGATAAGAAGGGCCATGCGGTGGTGAGCTAGCAGTAACAGCTGCCAGTCCTTCAAGAGAGGTTCATCGAGTTCCAGGCTTGCTTTCCAGCGACCAAATGCGCTCGCCCAGTCAGCAACGTACTTGCGGACTCCTGGGATCATGGGTCTCGAATGGTGTGGTTTGCCAAGTTCGAGAAGGAGGACCATATACACAGCCTGTTGGAGATACTTGCTTGCTTGAGCCAGGTCTTCAAATATCTCAGGCATGTCTGGTATGGCATAGGTTGCGCCCTCTGTTGAGTTGGCCTCGGGTCCCGTCTCTTCTCGGAGCGCATAGTTTTCCGACTTGGCCATGAAGCCATGTATTATGGGTTCAATGAATTTAGCAACTTCCGGAGCAATTGTGACTTGTCTTCTTCGGTTCTCGGATATAATTCGATGGCCAGATTTCAAATGAGTGAGTCCTGCAGCGGACGCACCCATCAGGAAATCACAGTGGGCGAAAAGGATGCATGAGATCAGAATGATTTCGAGTGGCAAGGCGCTTTGACTCTGATTAATCTCGGTGATAGCCTTAGTGTAGTAGAGAGTGAAGGTGTGGTTCTGCCAGGGCGTCCGTTTCGTGAGCTCGATCCATTCATGCAGACTGCTCAACGCAGCCAAGCTATGACGGACACAGGCCTGAGTTTGACTGGCTTGAACGACCAAGCGATTCCAAAAGCTCCAGGCCGAGCTGGAGGAGTACTGGACCAAGGCTTTATCGTCGACGAAGGAGTCCATCATCTCTGCAAAGTAGGAGGAAATCCGAGGAGCAGTGCATTCCATGAAGAACTGGGTGGGCCGATTGAGATCAGGCTCATTGTAGAAATGGATTGGGTTGCCGCTGTTGAACCAAGGGACGATTTCTTCGGTCAGTGGCCGTCCACGGGACGAAGACTCAAACATCCATGCCTTTGGCTGCGTGTAGCCTTCGCACACTCGGCCGGCTTTGGCACATCGGAGGCATCGTGGGTGTGTTTCGTCGCCTAGGACATCGAGGAACACGAGTTAGCTCGAGGGCAAGAGGCAGAGGACGTAAAAGAAGAGACGAGGTTGCGTGACAAAGGGACGCAGTCATGGCATTGTTGCTATACTCATCCGGGAGGTTCACCAGCATGGAGTCTTGGGACTATAGCAACAGTTGGGCGACACGTACATTTGACCCTGCGATGTCTAGCTTTAGGTTAGCGAGGGTACAGAAAGAGGGAACAGAGCGTCAGGCAGAGCAAGAAGAGTGGTAGGAGAAGGAGATGGGAAACAGATGAAGAAGCCACTGAGAGACGGGGTCCTGGAGAAGGGGGACGAGGATGGAGGGGAGATTGGCAAGCAAGCAAGCCATAGTGCCTCGTACTGCGCTGGGTACTTGGTACAGACCTGCAAGTTAGGCAGCCGGTGCGCACTTTGTGATGGCTTCGTTTCAATCTCGTCGGTGACCTTTCTCGTTCTCTTTCCTTGGTCTTTTCTCGTGCCCGTTCCGCTCTTCTATCTCCGAGTACTACCACTGTGAATTCAGTCGGTCTTTGGGCGTCGACAACCTCAGATGCTCTGGACGGTTTAACACCTCGTTCTCTCAGCTGCTCAGCAACCGGCGATGGAGGCCTGTCAGCAACCATAAGGGCTCGTGGTACCATCTCGTACACACGGGTTGGGGCATCTGGAACAGAGCTGAAGGTTGCTGGAAGCTAATTCAAATCCTGTCGAATCCCTTCAAATCCCTCAGCTAGGAAATGAGGTGTTCAGTATACAAACAGGATAAGAACCCGCTTCACGGCCCCTTAGATAATATAGTACGCTAACTTCTGCATGGACCCGGGGGCATATCAGGCCGGCTAAAGTGGTGCGGTAAAGGGTGACCAGGAGGTGATGAGCCACGAGCACCCTCTGGAGATCCGAATGGGTGGAATCCGCCTATACGCACCTTTTCAACGACGGAATGCGGGTCGAGTTTTGTTAAACCCTGCTCAACTGAGTCGACTTCGGTACTTCTCAGCTATCTCTTTCCGACTGCCAGCCAGGGCGCCATCAAGATTGCATCCCCGAGCGGCAAAAATTGGGGGATGGTGGTGCTCTTGCTCCGCCTCCAAGCCGGTTTATACAGGCACAAATTCGACCAGGCAACGCAAGAGCAGGCGGTGAGGTATAAGCAGGAACAGGAGGCAGCCCAAGAGGCCATGCCGTGTTCTGGTAGCTTCGCGTGGACACACTCTCACACGCGTGGTTGGCCAAGGTATGCAAAGCATCCACGATGCAGAATCCTAGCTGGTCGAGGCTTCGCTTGCACAAACGTAACTCGGTATTCTGGCCCGGGCTAACACCTCGAGTCAGTTCTCCTTTCCACCCCCTTGTTGCCGTGCTGGCCGCTAGGAGAGCCGGGTTGATTTCCCCCCCATCGTCTGGGGAGCAACTGGGTGCTGCAGTGGGAATCACGACCCTCTCTCTTCCTGGCTGTCCTCACCCGAGCCACGCCCGTTGCGACAGTTCTGGGTGGTGCATTAACTGGGTTGGAACAAGGATGATTTCGGGCATCGGTCCCGACCTCCCACTATCGAGAGAAGTGGCTCTCAGCCCTAAGGGATCAGAAAGGCATGGCCCCTCCCTGGCTTCTCCTGGCTTCCACTCTATTTCCATACTAAGTGACTAATCAGCCCTAATTGGTTTGGTAATTGGCTACTATTGTGGTTGTCGACGTCGAGTCAAGACGCTGGCACCCCGGGAATTTTCTACATGGCCTTTGC